ATAAAAACAAAAACAAAAACAAGTGAGAGCACAAGGTCCCAAATTCAAGCTCCAGTACTGCCTGGCCCAAGGCGGGGTGGGGGGGTGAGGGGGGGCTAAGGATTAAATAGTGTTGGAGGCAAGGCTCAAGTTGTAACAATGCTGAGTTTGGATCCTAGGGTTATTTTTTAAAAAGTAAATAATAATACATTCACATGGAGAGAAATACTCCACCATATTACATTCTATTTAGGCTAAAACAATCAGATATTATTTTTGGCCTTTCACATGGGCAAGGACGGTTTTGGAAAGATCGATACTATACCCACTATTGGCAAGAGCAAAGGAAAACTGATATTCTTATGCACTTTTGGCAGTATATACTTAAAAGAAACAACAAAACCTCATATCCTTTGACCTAGCACTTCGATTTCTTAGAATGTATCCCTCGGGAACACTCTCATAAAGCCACAGGCCAAGTTTAGAAGGGCAGCGGCTAGGTATTCTAAGACTGGAAAGCACCCAGCCAAGCCATCAGTAAGGGATGAGTTCAATAATTCATGCTCCAGTCACACAATGAAATTCCTATATCTTAGCTTGCATAATTTCTTCCCTTGTTCCTTCCTTCTCTTTCTTTCTCTCATTTTTTTTTGGGGGGGGGAGAGGCTTGCTTTCCCCTTGAATTTCAAATGAGCATCTTAAAAGATCTATGCCCAGACATAACTTTTGTTTCTCAATCCACTGCCCTAGAGTGAAAAATGCCTCACCATTTTTTCCCAACCTCCCCAGACAAACCCTGCAGTCATCCAATTCCTTGGGTGTTTATATACAATCTGGCAGCATGCTTCCAGAGGTAGGGGGATTGAAGTCCAAAGGCCAGCCTGGGCCAAAGCTCCAGACCCTATCTGAATAAACTAAGAAGCACAAAGGATTAGGGCATGGCTTAAGAGTTAGAACTTTTGCTCGGAGGGTCTCAGTTCAATTCCCAGTATTACCAAGAAATAAAAATAAGATCCTGATCTATGTTTCCCAAAAGCTCCCTGTACTAGGCCACAGCATGCTCAGTCCCACCTCAGGGTCCTCTATCTGGAAAATACTCTTCCCCTCTCATGCAGCAAGCTATTACTGGCATCTACTGAGTGGCAGACTCTCCTGGGGGCTGGGGAGATAGGCAAAGCCTGGGCCCTTGTGACCTCCCTTTCCCAATGGGTCGTCTCAGGGCTGCCTTCCTTATTTTACTCCTTTTTCTAATCGCTAGACAACTACCATGACTCAAGTATCCATGCATCGGCTACTCTGTATCCTCTCCCCGTTTTCTTCCTATTCCCTCATGCACCCACCACTCAGGATGCTAATTGCTGTCAAGTCTCTCCCTGTAGAGTGAATTTCAAGGAGGTGGGGCTGGGGTTGCTGGGCAGGAAACATGTCTGTTCTGTACACTTCTGCCCCCTAGTGGCTGGAACAGAGATGGGCACATGACTCATACTCTATAAAAACAGTTTTTTAAAAACAAAACAGAACAAAAAACCAGGCCGATCTATGTGTAATAACCCAGAGAGATGCCAAGATATAAATACAAAAAGAGTAACGTTGGGCACTCACTGGTGGCTCACGCCTATAATCTTAGCTACTCAGGGGGCTGAGGATTGTGGTTTGAAGCCAGCCCAGGCAGGAAAGTTTGTGAGATTCTCTCTCTCTTTCTCTCTTTCTTTTTTTTTGGAGGCCTCAGGCTTGAACTCAAGACCTAGGCACCGTCCCTGAGCCTTTTCACTCAGAGCTAGCACTCTTATCAGTTTGAGCCACAGCACCACTTCTGGTTTTCTGGTGGTTCATTGGAGATAAAAGTCTCACAGATTTTCCTTGCCAAGGTTGGCTTGGAACCACGATCCTCAGATCTCAGCCTCCTGGGTAGCTAGGACGACAGGCGTGAACCACCCGTGCCTGCCCTGTGGGCTCTTATTTCCAAAAAAGCCAGAAGTGTGGAGCTGTGGCCCAAGTCGTAGAGCACTAGCCACAAGCAAAAGAAGCTCAGCAGCAGGGCTCTGGTGGTTCCTGAGGCCCTGTGTGGGAGAGGCAGTGTCTCTCTGCTGCTCAATCCCACATCTCATGTTGGCCAGAGGGGGGCGATCTTCTAGCCATGAAATGGTGTAAAGTCAAGTCAATCAGTGGTGACATTCCCATGTGGCTTGGCAATTCTGGCTGTCCCCACAGCAGCAGTGCAGATTCGGCAGGGGCAACCCCCCCCCCGCTCCTGCACAGCCTGCTCCTCCTCCGCTATTCTCTCGCTAAATGTCATCTTCAGCGGCCCCAGCCAGACAGGCGAGAATGCCACCCCTTCCTCCTGCATTCCCCTCCCGGGAGCCACCAGACACTTGGCTCTCCAACACTTCCCACAGTCCATCATCCCCCCCCCCCAAACTCCTCCTCCCTGTTCCTGCTGCCACTGTGAGCCAGCTCAAAGCCTTCTGGAAGTTTCCTGTAGACCCTCTGAAGCTCCAGAAAGGCCAAGGTCAAGTCTGGTTAGTTCACCACCCCATCCCCCTGGGATAAAGCACATCGTGCATAGTAGGTGCTCAATAAATGTCAGCTGGATGGCAAATGGATGCACATACAAGTATATGTGTGAGCCAGCCAGGGTGACAGGAATAAGAATGGTAACAGAATAGGGCATGGGCAACAGCACCCTGCCCCCCCCCCCACCTGCGAGGCCTTGTTCTAGATTCATTCCATGCTCCTGGTGCTCCATGCTGGGTGAAATTTATCCCTATTTTAGAGCTGAAGAAACTAAGTTACAGGGAAGTTAAGTAAATTGGTAAAGGTTACCCAGCTATTGCCCTAGCAAGAGCCAAGATTCAGATAGGATTTCCAGTTACAACTGCAGCAACCAACTCTCCAAAGTTACCTCCTGGGTAACAAACCCTCTTTTGTCCAAGGGACCACAAACGTTATTAAGACCTGCTTCAACTCAGGCAGCTGTCAAGAAGCCCTGTGCCAGACTGGTCTCCTTCTGGGCTGATACATCAACTAGCATCCAGTTGACAGTGACTTCCCTTGAGGGGTTCATTTCCCTGGAGCCCACTTCCCTCTTGGGGGTTCCGATGAAAGAACATTTCTGGGCCTGCATGACCAAGAACCATGCTGTGGAAATCGGCCCAGGGAAGCCAGTGAGAGCGGCACAGGGCACTCTGCTTGGGCCTTCTCCCCTCTCTCTCATCTGGCCTTAAAACCTACCCTAGGGCAGAGGCTTTCAAATCAGCTGGCAGCCGGGAAATGGAGGGCAGGCATGCCTCAGGGCGTGCCTATGGGGTGTGGGGTGTGATGGAGGACCAAAGAGTCAGGTCTTGGCTGGGGAGGATGGGGGGCGGTGGAGACATCTCTCTCCTTTTCCCCAGAGCTGCTGTGCTTTTTTTTTTTTTTTTAAGTCCAGGGTTCTGAAGAAGCTTTCAATCAGAGGACACGTTCTGGCATTCACAATAACTTTGGAAAATCAGTACCTTAGGGAATAAATGTCCTTGTCAAGCCCAGGGGCTCTGCTTGTGTCTATCCTGGTGACATTCAGGGGTTCGAATGCAGTAAATTCTAGTACAAGAGAGACAAGGGTGAGGCCCACCAAGGGCAATGCCAAGGCTGCCCGCATTGCTGTGGTTCCCTGTCCCGCACACCAGCTCTTGGCTTGTTCTGGCTGGGGGGTGGGGTGGGATGGGGGGGGGTGTCTGTTTGGTACAGTCTCATTTCTGGGCATCTGCCCACCCAGTTCTTATGTCTGCTGTGTGACAAAATAGGAAATGTGTCTCTGTTGCTTACAACCCTTACCACACACCTTTTCAGGTATTATGTCCATCTTTGGGGGAGAGAAACAGGTTCAGGAAGAGAAATGGGCCGAGTGCTGATGGCTCATGCTTGTCATCCTTGCCATTCAGGAGGCTGAGATCTCAGGATCATGATTCAGAGCCAGCCCAGGCAGCAAAGGCCGTGAGACTCTTATTTCCAATGAAACACCACAAAACCAGAAGTGGAGCTGTGACTCAAAGTGGTAGAATACTGGCCTTGAGCAAAATTGCTCAGGGACAGTGCCTAGGTCCTGAATTCAAGCTCCGTGACCAACAGAGAAAGAGAGTGAGAGAGAGAGAGAGAAATGGATGTTGAAAATGAACTATACAACTTGTGGGTGGGGATGAGAGAGAAAAAACTGGGAGAAAGTGAGAGAAGGGGTGACATTGTCTAAAAAGAAATGTTCTCTTTACTCAACTTATATAACTAGAACCTCTTTGCATATCACCTTTATATAGAGAGAGACAGATATTTTGGCGGTCATGGGCCTGAACTCTGGGCCTGGGTGCTGTCCCTCAGCTCTTCAGCTCAAGGCAAGCGCTCTACCACTTGAGTCACAGCACCACTTCCGGCTTTTTTCTTTTTGCTTATGTGGTGCTGAGGAATCAAACCCAGGGCCTTAGGCATGCAAGGCAAGCACTCTACCACTGAGTCACCTTCCCAGCCCCACTTGTGAGATTCTTATCTCCAATTAACCACCAACGAGCTAGAAGAGGAGCTATGGCAGAAGTAGAACACTAGTCTTGAGCCCAAAAGTTTAGTGACAGTGCCAAGACAGTGAGTTCAAGCGCCAAGACCAACATTTAAAAAAAAAAAGATAAAAAGAAAGGTAAAGTCCTTGTTCTCCCTACTTCTGGAAGATTCCCCCCAAACCACCTTGAGGCTTTGCTTGGCTCCCATTTTATGTCACTTTTGCTCATTCAACAAACCTTTGAACATCAACCAAACGAACTCAGGCCTCATGAGGAGAGCATTTGGCAAACCAGGAGCAAGATGGTGATATACCACCATTCTTCCCTGTCTGTTCCTCTGAGGTAGCCACCTAGTTCAGCACCCGGTGTACCATCAGCCAGATGGGTGTAGAGCCCTTAGAAACGTCCTCTTGTTCTTTTTTGTTTTTCAATATGCCCGGCTGGTCCCAACCACCCTCTGTTCCTCTCCCACTCCGTGGTAACCTTCCCCAGCCATACCCGGTTGATGAGCTCGCCAACCATGCCTGTCCAGGAGCCATTGGGCTCGGGAGCCCCATAGAGCCCATCCTCCACCAGCCGCAGGCGGTAGCGGAAGCGGAGCAGCTCGGCCAGCTCCCGCAGCATGTCCACGCAGAAGCCCTCGAAGCGTTCATTCCCTGACAGGGCCTGGAAGTTGGGCCGGCGCATGACGTAGGGATTCTCCTGGATGGGCAAAAGACAGCAGGGGTCAGAGATCAGGTGCCCAAGGGGTGGAGGTTGGGGACCAAATTAGGGATCCTGAAGTCCAGGGCAGAACTAGAGGATCTGGACGAGGCAAGCTAGAGCAGGTTTCTGCTCATGGAGTCACCATACACATTAGGCATGCACAAAAGCTCTGTGGGGCCTGGCACCATTGTCACACACATGTCATCCCAGCTACTCAGGAGGCTGAGATCTGAGGATCGTGGTTTGAAGCCAGGAAGGAAAGCCCATGAGACTCTTTGTCACTTTTGGCTTTTTCTGTGTATGTGGTACTGAGGAATCGAACCCAGGGCTTCATGCATGCTAGGTAAGCACTCTACCACTGAGCCACCTTCCCAGCCCCCATGAGATTCTTATCTCCACTTAACTACCAGAAAATTGGAAGTGGTGCTATGGCTCAAAGTGGTAAAGCACTAGCCTTGAGCGAAAAACAAAGCAAAACGAAACTTAGGGACAGCGCCCAGGCTCTGAGTTCAAGCCCCACCACTGAAAAAAATAAAAATGCTCTGTGGGGAGAAGAGGCTGGACACTGAGGGAAAAAACCATGTGGATCCTATGAGCTGTTAGCAGATTGCAGGAGCCCTTTTGTTACTTATTCATTTTTATTTATTATTGATTTTTTTTTGGGTCCAGTCATGGGCCTGAACTCTGGGCCTGGGAGCTGTCCCTCAGCTCTTCAGCTCAAGGCTAGCGCTCTACCACTTGAGCCACAGAGCCACTTCCGGGTTTTTCTTTTTGCTTATGTGGTGCTGAGGAATTGAACCCAGGGCCTCATGCATTCAAGGCAAGCGCTCTATCACCGAGCCACCTTCCCAGCCCCCTTATTGATTTTTTTTTCTTTTTGTCGGTTGTGAGGCCTGAACTCTGGGCCTGGGCTCTGTCCCTCAGCTCTTCAGCTCAAGGCTAGCACTCTACCACTTGAGCATAGCCCCACTTCCGGCTTTTTCTGCTTATGTGGTGTTGCAGAATCAATCTTAGGGCCTCATGCATACAAGGCAAGTGCTCTACCACTGAGCCACCTTCCCAGCTCCCTTATTGATTTTTTTAAGGTAGGGTCTTGCTATGTAACTTTCAATGACTACAAGGTAGCTTTTTTTTTTCTTTTTTTTGGGGGGTCCGGTCATGGGGCCTGAACTCTGGGCCTGGGTGCTGTCCCTCAGCTCAAGGCTAGTGCCCTACCATTTCCGGCTTTTTGCTTATGTGGTGCTGAGGAATTAAACTCAGGGCCTCAGGCTTGTAAGGCAAGCGCTCTATCACTGAGCCAGCTTCCCAGCCCAAGGTAGCTTTTTGTTTTGTTTTGTTTTGTTTTGTTTTTGTCAGTTGTGGGGCCTGAACTCTGGGCCTGGGCACTGTCCCTTAGCTTTTCAGCTCAAGGCTAGCACTCTACCACTTGAGCCACAGAGCTACTTCCGGCTTTTTCTGTGTAGGTGGTGCTGAGGAATCGAACCCAGGGCTTCATGCATACAAGGCAAGCACTTTACCATTGAGTCACCTCCCAGCTCCTGCAAGGTAGCTTTTTGAGACTCCTACCACAGACTTATGAGTGCCGGAATTATAGGTGTGCACTACCATATCTGGCTTGCAAGAAGCCCATGTTAGTCTCCATGGCCAACCTGATGTTCATTGTTTTCCAACCAAAAAGCTTGTAAGGGACAGAGGGAGCTTCAGACAAAGCACATTGGATAGCACCATGAACTGTGCCAAACTATAACAGGGCTTTCAGGGGTGTGTGTGTGTGTGTGTGTGTGTGTGTGTGTGTGCTGGTGCTGGTCCTGAGGCTTGGAGTCAGGGCCTGGGTGCTGTCCCTGAGTTTTTGTACTCAGACCTAGTGTTCTACCATTTTGAGTCACAGCTTCATTTCAGGTCTTTTTGGTGGTTCATTGGAGATAAGAGTATCACAGATTTTCCTGTCAGGGGGCTGGCTTTGAACTGTGATCCTCAGATCTCAACCTCCTGAGTGGCTAGGGTGACAGGTGTGAGCCACCAGTGCCCAGATTCAGATTTTTTAGTATGATCTTTATCATGATAGGCTACAACTCCAGTCAACACACACATTCATGAGCAGGGCGCGCATACACACACACACACACACACATACAGACACACACACACACACACACACCCCTAAACTCCAAAAATCCATCCTTCCTTTCAGTGACCTGGAGTATCACACACTAACATTCCCTATTTGGCTGCACTTCATTTTCCCACATAGCCAAGAGTGACTCACTAAATCTACTTCCCAATCCACTGAAGGGACTCAGGGGGCATCCTGGCCAGGATTTCACTCCAGCCCAAAGCCGTCTGGAGGAAGCAGGCTTGCCATGCCAGATGGTACAATTTCGAGAGCATTTAGAAGTCTAGATTGTTCTGCAAAAATCTCCTGATTATGAATGTTAGCAACTAATAATTCTATACCTATTTTTTTAGGCCAAACAAACACACCTGTCACTTTGTAATCTCTGGTCTTTTGCTACAGTGATTATTTCTGAGGATCATAAGTAAATTTTACTGACCCCATCATGCCAAAAACAAACAAACAAACAAACAAACCAAAAACAACCTCACAGCTGGGTGTTAGTGGCTCATGCCTATAATCCTAGCTACTCAGGAGGCTGAGATCTGAGGATCACGGTTCAAAGCCAGCCCAGGTAGGAAACTCCATGAGACTCTTATCTCCAATAAACCACTCAGAAAACTGGAAGTGGCGCTGTGGCTCAAGTGGTAGAGCAATTAGCCTTCAGCTGAAGAGCTGAGGTACAGCGCCCAGGCCCAGAGTTCAAACCCCACGACTGACAAAAAACAAACCACCCCCCCCCAAAAGCAGAGAGAATATTCAAAGTGCTAGCAAGATAAGTTATCTAGGGTGAATACAAAACAAAAGGAAAAGTTATTTTGACAGAGTTATTATCTAAAGATGGACCATACAGTATCACTTTGAATAAATGAACAAAGGACTTAGGCCAGACACAGTAGTTCACACCTGTAGTCCTAGCTACTTGGGAGGCAGAGATTAGAGATGGTAGTTCAAAGCCAGTTTAGGCACAAACATAGGACCCTATCTAGATGCATGTGCCTGTCATCCTAGCTATGTGGTAAATGTAAAAGGTAGATCAAAGTCCAGGATGCCCTGGACATATACCTAAGACCCTATTTTAAAAATAATGAAGAGGGGCTGGGAAGGTGGCTCAGTGGTAGAGCGCTTGCCTTGCATGCCTGAGGCCCTAGGTTCGATTCCTCAGCACCACATAAGCAAAAAGAAAAAAAGCCGGAAGTGGTGCTGCGGCTCAAGTGGTGAAGCACTAGCCTTGAGCTGAAGAGCTGAGGGACAGTGCCCAGGCCCCACAACTGGACCAAAAAAATAAATAAATAAAAATAATGAAGAGCTGGGTGTTAGTGGCTCATGCCTATAATCCTAGCTACTCAGGAGTCAGAGCTGAGGATCACAGTTCTAAATCAGCCCAGGCAGAAAAGTCCCCAGGAGACTCTTATCTCCAATGAACCACTCAAAAACCGGAAGTGGCTCAAGTGGTAGAGCACCAGCCTTGAGCACAAAGAGGCTCAGGGACAGCGCCCAGGCCCTGAGTTCAAGTCCTACAACCACCACCACCAACAACAACAACAAAATAATAATAACAAAGATAACATGGGCTGGGGGCATAGCTCAAGAAGTAGACAATCTGAAAGAACAAGGCTCTGAGTTCAACACCCTCCATCCGACCAAAAAGAAAAGGATTTAGGACTAAAGAATGAGATCCACAATGACAGTGTTGTTAAGCACCTGCCTTGTGTGTGTTGTCCTCTCTGGGACCTGACACTAACGTAGGGATTATTAGACTAATTTTTGCACATACTCGCAGAGAGGGCATAGGGCTTCTCGGTCACTTTTCATAATTACTGAACTCTGCCACAGATGTGGTTGAGATACGCTGTGGCCTCATTCATCAGAAGGGGCGTCCGCTTCTCTATTCCTTGGGTCAAATTGGCCTTGTGCCTTGCCTTGGCCAACAGAACCTGGTGGAGATGAAGCTGTTTGGATTTCAGAGCACTGGCATTCAGAGCAGCTCTTAGGACCAGAGGCTGAAGGAATGTCAGAAGTCCCGACCAGGCTGAAGGATGACACAGAGATCAGGCAGGGCATGCTAGCCAACACACCTTCTAGACCTTCTGGTATAACCTGAATGCAACTACAGTGTGCCCAGGTAGGACCAGGCAAGACTTGTGAGAAATAACAAATCATTAGCCTGGCACTGATGGTTCACACCTGTAATCCTAGATCATTCGGAGGCTGAGATCTGAGTATCTCAGTTTGAAGCCAACTAGGGGGCTGGGAAGTCCATGAGACTCTTATCTCCCATGAATCACACACACACACACACATACACACACACAGAGAAAAGCAAGAAGTGGAGTTGTGGCTTAAGTGGTAGAGCAAAGTAAATAAAAACAAACAAACAAATAAATATCTCAGGGATAGCACTCAGGCCCTGAGTTCAAGTCCCAAGACTGATACTTTAAAATTTTTTTTGCCGGTCGTGGGGCCTGAACTCTGGGCCTGGGCGCTGTCCCTCAGCTCTTCAGCTCAAGGCTACCACTCTACCACTTGAGCCACAGTGCCACTTCTGGCTTTTTCTGCTTATATGGTGCTGAGGAATCGAACCCAGGTCCTCATGCATGTAAGGCAAGCATCTTACCACTGAGCCACCTTCCCAGCCCCGATACTTTTTATTTTTTAAACAATATTATAAGTTCCAAGTCTCTGCATTTGGGGGTGACAAAAGTCTCCCTCCCCATTCAGCTAGGTCCTGTCACAGGCACTCTATGACCCCACACAGTCCTGCGGCTGAATGACAACAGGAAGAAGATGGAGGATGGAGGGGAGTTAGCACTTTCTCTCTCTACCAAGCTGCTTCTCCAAATCAAAAATTATGGAACTGGGAGCAGGAATGTGCGATAAGACT